ATAACAATGCATTTACATATTTATTACATAAATATTTAAGTTTCAGCTAGAAAAGTACATCTCAATAGCCAAATACCTTGAAAAACAAAAAAACAGAAATAGGGCATAGACCCACCACTTCCACCCCTAAGTGCATAGGCAGGAGAGTATATAGGAAACATTTGCATACCATGTTCACAGCAGCATTATTCAAAACAGCCAAAAAGTAGACATAGCCTCTGTCCATCAACAGAGTAATAAAGAAAAATGTATCTATATGATGGAATTATTATTCATCCATAAAAAGAATAAAGTACGACCACATGGACAAACACTGAAAACGTGATGCTGACCAAAACAAGCAGGACAAAAACTGTGATTCCACTTAAATATAAGTCCTAGAATAGGCAAATTTAGAGATAGAGAGTAGATTAAAAGTCACCAAGGGCTGGGAAAAGGAGGAAATGGGGAAATACTGCTGAGTAGTAGAGTTTCTGTTTGGGATGATGAGAAAGTTCTAGAAACAGATAACGGCGATGGTGATACAACACTGTGAATGTAATTAATGCCACTGAATTGAAAAAAAATAGACAAACAGCAAAAGCTCTAAAGCTATGCAAGTATTTTGGTAAAGTACTACTCTCAGGGATTTAAACAAAGGATATAAACCCATTAGAAATACATGCAAAGGGGCGCCTGGGTGGCTTAGTGGGTTAAGCGTCCAACTTTCGCTTAGGTCATGATCTCGTGGTTCGTGGGTTCGAGCCCCGCGTCTGGCTCTGTGCTGACTGCCAGCTCTGAGCCTGGAGCCTGTTTCAGTCTGTGACTCCCTCTCTCTCTGACCCTCCCCTGCTCACGCTGTCTCTCTCTCTCTCTCTCTCTCCTGGAAATAAAAACATTAAAAAAAAAAAATACGTGCAAAAATGTCCACAAATAGAAAATTAATGAGGTAAATAAACAAGATAGAATGTCATGTGGCACTTAACAATCCTCTTCTAATCTAGGCAATTTACTGATTTCAGAAAACACTAAAGACTACAACCTGAAAAGATAACCACCAGTATATGCAGCGTGATCCCGTTTGTATAAAAACAACATGACCATTTGTTTACAATGGTATTAACTAAAATATTCACAGTTGGCATGTTAGAAAATAGAATTATGGGTGATTTTGTGCCTCCTCCCATAGACTTTTTGTTTTATTCCCCCACATAAACAGGCTATGGCTCCATCACTTAAAAAAATATGAAAACATGCTTTCCACTTTACAAATTCTACAGAACTTAATTTTCCCCACATGAAAATTGAGAAAAAATAATAAAAATATAAAGCAACAAAAAGTGAACAGTCCCTGTATGCATACCACCTGCAACCAATGCATTATGCAGATATGTGCTTATACACATATTTAAAGTCAAGGTATAAGCCAAATAAGTAACATCAGTTATTCTGGAGGATGAGATTACAAGGGGATTTTACTTTTTCTGTATTGTTAGAATGTTTACAGTGATTATGTACTGTGACCAAATAAAAGCAAATCAAAAACAAAAAAACTTAATTTTGAAAAAATGCTATGCGATTACAGAGCCAAGAATAAGATGAGTACTTATCCAAATTCTAACAAATAAGTAACTGATAGATTAAAAAATGTTTCTAAAAAAATTTTTTTTTAATGTTTTATTTATTTCTAGAGAGAGAGAGACAGCGTGAGCAGGGGAGGGTCAGAGAGAGAGGGAGACACAGAATCTGAAATAGGCTCCAGGGTCTGAGCTGTCAGCACAGAGCCCAATGCGGGGCTCGAACCCACGAACCGCGAGATCATGACCTGAGACAAAGTCGGATGCTTAACCTACTGAGCCACCCAGGCGCCCCTAAAAAAAATAGGTTTTAATGGGGTGTCTGGGTGGCTGTCAGTTAAGTGTCCAATTTCGGCTCAAGTCATGATTTCACAGTTTGGGGATTCAAGCCCCAGCTCGGAGTCTGAAGCCTGACTTGGATTCTGTGTCTCCCTCTCTCTCTCTGCCTGCTACTCCCCAACCCCTGCTTGCACTGTGTCTCTCTTTCGCAAAAAATAAACATTAAAAAGTTTTTTTAATAAAATAAATAAAAACTAGGTTTTAAAGTCACAAAGGTCACTCAAACTTTTTCTCACTCACATTAAATTTGTTGGAAATACTCACATGATCAAAAAAACACACCACTGCAAGCTTTTTGCTGCGCTTGGTATAGATGCGCTGCACTTTAGCAATTTTACCAAAGTGGTTCTCCAGAATGGTTCTGTCATTGAGATAATCGGGGATGTTCTTGCACTGGATTGCTGTGAGTTCAGCAGGAGACAAGCCTCCAAGACCGTCTGTGATCTCGCTTCTTTTACTTTGACGCCCAGTAGTTCCCCTTAGAGAATCTAGGAATAAGAGAGCAGGCACAAAAACGCAGCAGATGTCACATTGAAACAGGAAGCACCAACTATGGAAGAGCAAAGTAAATGTTCATAGATGAAAGACATTTTCTTAGTATGTCAGAATTTCTAACATTTACAGCAAATTTTCTAGAAACATTAAACTAAGACTCAGGGAAATTTACCAAGACCGTAACAGCAGCATTTACTGCATGGCACACATTTTTAGAGCTCACCTTCTTTTTTATCTCTACTTTCAGTTTCTTCTTCCTTATTCACACCTGGGAGCCGGGAAGGTGCTGGGAGAGACGGACTCCCTCCTGGGATGGCCACGGGGTCATTTTCCCCGAACTCAGTACAGCCAACTTCCTTTTTAGATTCCTTGTTGCCAAGACGGCCTACTTCTTTATTGCTTTTGAAGACATCCTGTATCGTTCGACCAAACAAGGTGCCTCCCCGGGGTCGATTCAGGCGGACAGGTCGTTTATCTGGAGGATGATCTCCCCTCGACAGAGCGTCCACATCTTCTGCTGCGTCATGGCCATGTCTCCTTGGGGAGCGATCCTGGTCCTCCTTCCTTTTCAGTCCTTTCATGAGGCTGGGAAGCGGCTCCACTTGGGATACACCTTCTTCACATCCTTGTCTGACACCTGTTTTGTTAACTGTGTGGGGTTCTCCCAAAGACCCTGAAGATATGGGAAAGCTAGTGAAGCTACTATTAGAACTTCCAAATAGTGATTTAGGGCCTCTCTTCTCTTCCTCTACATTTTGGTTTGACAAAGCAGAGGTAAAAGTAGATGATGAGTTATTACTGTTAACTGGTTTTGAAAAGGTGAAATTTGAATTGGTAGCTGAACTACTTGTCACCTGAGAAAAAGAAAATGGTGCCAGTCCTCCAGGTCCACTACTAATTGGATGAGAAAATGTGAAAAATCCAGAAGTAATTTGGCTCTGAGTTTTCTCTGGCTCAGATTCAGCTCCCAATATTGGTTTGAACACTGAATTTTCCAGAGGTTTAAAGCTAAATTCTGTTTTCCCAAAGCCAGAGCTTGCTATTTCTCCAGTTTCTGGTCCAAATGTAGAAGTACTTGGGAAAGTCCCAAAGTTGGGTGATTTAAAACTAAATCCTGGGTTTCCAGGCACACATGAACTTGAAGGCCCAGAGGCAGCTACAAAGGCTGGAGTGTGGTCAAGTCCTGAAAAAAGTCCAACATTTGAGGTCTGGGAGAATCCTAATGTTTGTGCTGAAGAAGAATGACTTACTCCAGAAGATGTTGGAAAGCTGGATACCTGTGAAAATCCTGAAGTTTTCCCAGATAACGTATTGTTTTGTCCAAAAGGTGAGGGCTGACCAAACCTAAATGGTGGCTTAGCCTGAAATGTTCCTATGGAACTGCTGGAAGATGCTGGAAAAACCCCAGGCGGCTGCCCACTGAAAGGATTAGTTGGGTTCATCTTCTGATCCAAGGTAGTGAATACTATATGTACGCAAGTTGTTCTCTTCTTTAAACAGTCTGCTCAACTAGGAAGCTCCCCTTCATCTTTACAATAAGCTAGAAGACAAAAATTCAGATCATCACAGTGAAGACTAAGAAGAGAACTTTTAATCACATATCTCGTTGTAGGAATAATAAAACTCGGGCAAATCAGGGGCGCCTGGGTGGCTTAGTCGGTTGGGCGTCTGACTTTCGCTGAGGTCATGATCTCGCGGTTCGTGGGTTCGAGCCCCGCGTCGGGCTCTGTGCTGACTGCCAGCTCGGAGCCTGGAGCCTGTTTCGGTCTGTGACTCCCTCTCTCTCTGACCCTCCCCTGTTCACGCTGTCTCTCTCTCTCCTGGAAATAAATAAAACATTAAAAAAAAAAAAAAAAAAACTCGGTCAAATCAAAGGGCTAGCCATTTTCTGAGACTCCGTTGGGGGGTTTAGAGGGAGGGGCTGGAGTAGAAGGTAGAAAAAATAAATTACTTCGTTATTGGAGACTTCAAGCGTGATGCTTCAGACTAAAGAAAAATTCAGTTCATTTTACTGAATTGGTAAATTCACGAAAAATCTCAAAGAGCAACAAGAAAATGAATGCAGTCACACTTTTAAAGAGAAGAGTTTCTCCAAACTTCCTCCCATCTCCAGAGCCAGAAAACTACAGTGTGACGCTGTTAAGAACATCAGTGTTTCGGTGTTTTCCAATTTTCTCCCAGTAACCAGAACACTAAATGCTCCTCCCAAATACAGAAATAAATTGTGCAGCCATACCTGCGAAGACCCAGGAACCGGCCCAAAGGACGAGTGCCCCGCAGAGGCCACCCCCAGACCCGGGAAGGGCCGGGAATAGAGGCCGCGAAACCGGCAAAGCCCCGCCCCCGGCCCTCAGCGACCGCCCGCGCCCCAGGCCGGCTCCGCGGGCTACAGGGGCGCGGCGGCGGGGCTGGGGGTGGCGCAGGGGAAGGAAGCGGCCTCCACCCGGGTCGGGCCTCGCGCCGCGCTCACCATCCGGCTCAGGGACTCGGAGGCCCGCCCCCCGCTGCCGCCCCGGGCCCCTCGGCGCCCGGCTGGAGGCGCAGACGCGGACCGCGGCCGCCGGAGCCAGGCCTTCGCTGCGCGCGTCGGGAAGAAAACGCAACGGACCGACTTCCGGTCCTTCCGCGCGGCTCGGTCCGGCTCCCGCTCCGCCACACTCTGGTTCCGCCCTCCTGCCGGACTGTCGGCGGGCTTCCGGCGCCCGGGAACCCGACAGGGCTCTGCTGGCTTCCAACCTGGTACGTGAGACGGTGGCTTCCTCTCTCCGAAGTGGGGCGCCGTTCGCACCCCGCGTGCTGTCCGGGGCCTGCGCTCGGAGCCTCGGTGCCCATGCTGAGCGGTCCCTCGGAAGCCTCAACCTACCAGGATTCACACCCTTGGGCCGTACTCTTCCCCCTCCCCTCACACACACCTCCCCGTAGCGGCCTTCCACGCTCGCCGCCACTCTGTGTTGCGCCGCACCTCCCCTCCCCCCTCCCTGTAGCACCCCTCCCCAGTTCCCCTCACCCCACATCACCCTACACCTCCCCTCCCTCACCCCTCCCTGTAGCACCCCTCCCCACTCCTCGCACCCTGTATCGCTCCACACCTCCCCCTCCCCCACCCTGTATAACCCCACGCCTCCGCCAGCACCCCACAACTCACCCTATTCTTCCTCCACCTCCTCACCGCCCCTCCCCACCCCCTTTCATTATTAACAGCACCCTTCCTGCCTGCAGGTCTTAATTTCCTACCTGCTGTTATCCATTCTGGCAGGCCTGACTCTAGAACTTGCTATTATATTCTCTCATTTTTATATCTTCCTTATGGTAAAATATAAATTCTCTTACATTTTTCAGTGAATTTCACCAAATAAAATAGTGTGTGTATGTGTTTTTATAGAATTTATTTCCACTTTCAATAACTGATTTGTCTTACACTTTGACCACAGGCTCCTTTTTAAACATTTTTAAAGGGCCATGTTAATCGAAAAATGAGTTTGGTGCTTAGAAATCTGCAACGAGCTGTCCCCATTAGGAGAGCACCTCTTCGCAAGAAGATGGAGATTGTGAGGAGTATTTTAGGGGTGCAGAAATTCGACTTGGCGATCGTCTGTGTTGACAACAAGGGTATTCAGCATATTAATAGAATCTACAGAGAGAAAAATCTGCCAACAGATGTGCTTTCCTTTCCATTTCATGAGGTAAAAGGTATTCTCGTCTGGTCTACCTTCTGGTGTAAATACTCTGATTTTTAAGTTTGATTTTGAAAACTTTAAAATTAGGGGCACCTGGGTGGCTCAGTCAGTTAAGAGTCCAACTCTTGATTTCAGCTCAGGTCATGATCTCACGGGTTTGTGAGTTTGGGTCCCTCGTTGGGCTCTGTGCTGACAGCGTGGAGCCTGCGTGGGATTCTCTTCTCTCTCTCTCTCTCTCTCCCTCTTTCTCTGCCCCTCCCCTGCTTGCACTCTCTCAAAATAAATAAACATCTAAAAAATTAAAAAAAAAACAATAAAGTATACACGAGTAGAGTACACCGTGACCAACTCCTATTGACCAATACCCATCACCCAGGGAGAAAAAGTGATTGGTCCCACCCACTGAGTGAGTTTGAAGGGCAGCGCTTCTGCAATTATGTGCTACTGTAACAAGTATGTAGGGTTGAAATACTTAAATATCACTGAATTTTTCACTGAAAATGTAAAATAACACTGAAAAAATATTTTTTTTCTTTTTTTGCTTATTTATTTTTGAGAGAGCAGGAGAGCTAGAGTGCAAGCGAGGGAGGGACAGAGAGAGAGGGAGAAAGAACAGAAAGAACAGAAATAAAAAATTGGGCTGATGTGGATTTGTGTGATTGTGCACTGGAAAGAGTGCAAGAGAAGGAAAGTAAGTCTTTTAACGAGGTGGAAAAGATGTGGGAATGTTGGGGTTCAGAGCTGATGGCCAAGAAAGAATTCTTGAAGCATCTTTGGTGCAAAAAAGGTGGTTTTATTAAAGCACAGGGTCAGGATCGGTACGCAGGAAGAGCTGCACTGGGGTTGTGAGGAGTGAGTGACTGGTTTCATACTTTCTTTTTTTTTTTTTTTTTTTAAATTTTTTTTTTTTTTTTTTTTTTTTTTTTTTTTTTTTTTTAAATATTTTTTATTTATTTCTAGGAGAGAGAGAGAGACAGACAGACAGCGTGAGCAGGGGAGGGTCAGAGAGAGAGGGAGACACAGACTCTGAAATAGGCTCCAGGCTCCGAGCTGGCAGTCAGCACAGAGCCCGACGCGGGGCTCGAACCCACGAACCGCGAGATCATGACCTAAGCGAAAGTCGGACGCTTAACCGACTAAGCCACCCAGGCGCCCCTCATACTTTCAAGTCAGGAGAGCGTCAGGGACAGCAGAAACCTCCAAGGAATTTTGGAAACAAGGTTTCCAGGGCCCTGAGAGGGTGAGCTGTTGTAAGAAGTTAAATTATTTCTGTCTAGGAAAACCTTACTCATGAGACCCTTCAGACACCTATCAGGGGACCATATGCCTGGGAGATGATGGCTAACCTGTACCTTGGGGACTAGAGATAAAGGAAGTTTCCAAAGGAACTTCCTTTTTTTTTTTTTTTTTTATGTTTATTTATTTTTGAGAGACAGAGTGCGAGCTGAGGAAGAGCAGAGAGAGGGAGAGGGAGACACAGAATCCGAAGCAGGCTCCAGGCTCTGAGCTGTCAGCACAGAGCCCGACGCGGGGCTCGAACCCACGAACCGCGAGATCATGACCTAAGCGAAAGTCGGACGCTTAACCGACTAAGCCACCCAGGCGCCCCTCATACTTTCAAGTCAGGAGAGCGTCAGGGACAGCAGAAACCTCCAAGGAATTTTGGAAACAAGGTTTCCAGGGCCCTGAGAGGGTGAGCTGTTGTAAGAAGTTAAATTATTTCTGTCTAGGAAAACCTTACTCATGAGACCCTTCAGACACCTATCAGGGGACCATATGCCTGGGAGATGATGGCTAACCTGTACCTTGGGGACTAGAGATAAAGGAAGTTTCCAAAGGAACTTCCTTTTTTTTTTTTTTTTTTATGTTTATTTATTTTTGAGAGACAGAGTGCGAGCTGGGTAGGGGCAGAGAGAGAGGGAGACACAATCCGAGGCAGGATCCAGGCTCTGGGCTTGAACTCACAAGCCGTGAGCTCATGACCTGAGCCAAAGCCAGGCCCCCCTCCAAAGGAATTTCTAGATGTTTAAAGAAGGCTTACAGGATCCTGGGGGGTCAGGCTAAGGTCGCCTTTTGCCCCCAGCAAAGTGTCATCATAGAGGCAGCTGAGCCCCCAGAGGGGCTTGTCAGTGGGCTGTTGTAAGGAAATGTTTCTGTTGCCTTTGTTCACATCAGAAACATCTGAAGTCACTGCTAAACAGTGGCTCTACTGTCGCTCCCCTACCCCTCACCTGCCTTGACACTGATGAGTTGGGGGTCTTCCAGAATGAAATGTGTAGGCTGTTGTCGGGGTAGTCTTCCTGAGGTCGCGCTTTCCAAATCTGTATTTCCTCATTTACAGAATGTAAAAGCAGGTGAACTTCCTCAGCCTGATTTTCCGGATGACTACAACTTGGGTGACATTTTCCTAGGAGTGGAGTATATCTTCCAGCAGTGCAAAGGAAATGAGGATTACTATGACATCCTGACCGTAAGTGGGAATGTGTGCTGGCCCCGGACACCATCGCTGTGTCACCCGGGCCCTGGGAAGAGGTCATGGGTGGGACTCCTGCACCCACAGTCTCCTGTATGGGACAGGGATTATTGGGGGAGGGGGCCTATGAGCAGGGACAGCACCCTGTCTCATCATCTCGCAGAGAGAGGGGAGAACAGTGTTGGGTGAGAGGAGAGGACAGGAAACCTGTCGGAAACTCCCAGAAACGGCCTTGTTTTTAGCTTTGACCTCTGGAGCTCAGCAGGCTATTTAGCTAACTCAGACCTGCTGAATAAGCTCTTTACTGAACTGTTGAAGCAGGTGGGATTGTAGCCTCCAGGGCCTTCCAGATCCCACTCTCCTCAGCTTGATGCAAAGAAATGAGGGGTGGTTCTGAAGAGTGATCGTATTTTAGCTTCCCATGGATTTGACTGAGGTGTTTTCTTTGACCAAACAGCCCCTGAACTATCTTTAGGGGATCCTGGAGCTTCTGTGTGACTTGAAGCAGAGCTTTCTAGCAAGAGCCATTGTGACAGGTGTTAGGGGCCTGCTTTCTGGGGTGAGGGTGGGCTTTCTGGGAACAGGAGCCCTGGCACAGAAAGGACTGCTCAGCATGGGGTTCGGCTCCAGGGTCTCTGCAGCTGGCAGCTGTGCACCCACTGTGCACCCACAGGCTGCTGGGGGCATCCGCTCCCAGCCCCACCCCTACCCCGGATATTCCAGTACCTGCAGTGGGGGCCAGCCCACCCCACCCCCGAGATTCTAGTACCTGCAGTTGGGGGCAGCCCACCCCCACCCCCGAGATTCCAGTACCTACAGTGGGGGCCAGCCCACCCCACCCCCGAGACTTCAGTACCTGCAGTGGGGGCCACCCCCACCCCCGAGACTTCAGTACCTGCAGTGGGGGCCACCCCCACCCGAGATTTCAGTACCTACAGTGGGGGGCAGCCCACCCCCACCCCCAAGCTTCTATTACCTTCTGTGGGGGGCCCACCCCCCCCCCCCCCCCCCCCCACCCCCCACCCCAT